TATAAACTTCCATCGTTTTGCCCAAATGTTTTGCAAACATTTTGTTAACTAAACGTTGGTATGTTGCCCCGGCATTTTTTAAACCGAATGGCATAACTTTATAACAGTAGATTCCTCTATCTGTTATGAAGGATGTTTTCTCTTCATCTTCGGGATTCATCATGATCTGATTATATCCAGAAAATGCGTCCATGAATGTTAAGAGTTCATTTCCGGCCGTTGATTCTACGAGCCGATCGATATGAGGGAGAGGAAAACTGTCCTTTGGACATGCTTTGTTAATGTCAGTGAAATCGACACATACTCTCCACTTTCCATTCTTCTTTTTGACTACCACGGGGTTTGCTAACCAGTCCGGGTATTTTACTTCTCTAATGGAACCAATTTTTAAAAGCTTATCAACTTCGTCATTGACTGCTTGAGCTCGGTTAGGACCCAGTTTTCTTCTTTTCTGCTTTATTGGTTTAAAACTGGGATCAACGTTTAATTCATGGGTAATGATACTTTTGTCGATCCCGGGCATATCTTTTGCCAGGCAGGCAAAAGTACGTTTATTTTCCTTCAGAAATATTACCAATTGATCTTTGATTTCTGAATCTAAAGTAATACCGATTTTTACTTTTCGATCTGGAAATTTGGAATCAATTTCAATTTCTGTGGTAACTTCATTCGAACTGAGACCACTCGGGTAACGCGAGGTACTTTTTTGCTTCGCGTTTATCATTAATTGCTATTTGAGCTTTAAACGATGTCCCATGAGGTAGCAAGAACACGATGTTTCCAGATCTCCTCGAATGGTTCCGATTCCTCCAGGAGTCAGAAATTTCACACATTGGTGATAAGTTGAAGGTATAGCCTTCATTTGGTGTATCCACGGAGTTCCGATAATTATGTTGTAAGCGGCCGGTCGGTCGAAAACAATGAATTCTACGATCTTTGGAACCCCTGCGGCGAGTACTGGTAGTTTTATGTTTACTAAGGACATAGATGTGTCACTTGTGAAAGCTACCAATGGTGCCGGTGGACCGATAATGTCAGCTTTACTGATTCCCATTCTTTGCAAAGTGCTTAGAAATATGAGATCTACCGAGCTTCCAGTATCAATTAGGCACCTTGTCACTTCAAAGTTCGCAACATCTAAAGTTATCACAAGAGCATCGTCATGAGGTCCTGTTAATCCTTGAGTGTCCGAATTGTCAAAAGAGATAGAAGGTGTTTGCTCATTTGACTGAAAACCCACAACGGTTTGAATTGCTGCTGATTTCTTGTGCCTTTTGATTGATCTGATCGAATCTCGGCATAATTTGGATCCTCCCATTATAACATCGATCCTTTTCTTAGGAGTGTTTGGAGTTCCAGGCCCATTGGGCTTATGTTTCTTTTCAGGAGGATTAGAAGCTTCAGAATCTTCTTTTTCTTTGTGATAAGATTCCACAAACTCCTCGATATTGAAATTAACGAGCTCTCCAGCTGTCCACAGTTCGGTGAGGTGCTTTTTGAGTACGCTGCAATCTTTGGTGGAGTGCCCGTTTACTCTGTGAATATCGCAATAGGCACTCTCATCTCTAACCCAAGTATTAGGAGATTTGTACCTTCCTTCGCTTGGGGAGGGTTTTCCTACGGTGTTAGTAGCAGGATTGACTCCGAACCGTTTTTGATCTTTTGGTTCAAACTTTTTAGTTGGATTTCCAACGACCAATTTTGCTGGTCGATGCTTTTTAGCGAGGCTGAGCTTTTCTTCTTCTGCCTCCATCCAATTGGTAGCTCTGAATAAAGCATCTTGGATGGTGCTTGGACGATTGACGATGATTTCTTCCCGAAATCGGGATTCATGCCAGAGTCCGTTCCTTAAAGCAGAAAGGGCAGCAGCGTGCGATACCCCTGGAATTTTGGCTATCACTTCTTTGAATTTAGCGATATATTTGCGAAGTGGTTCATTCTGACCTTGGGTTAAATTCCAAAGATCTGCATCTGAGGTTGCCTTTTCCATGAACATGGAATACTGTTTTAGGAATGCAGAGGACAATTCCTTAAAACTATCGATAGTTCCAGGCTCCAACTGAGTAAACCATAGTAGGGCCGATCCGGATAGATTCTCGGAGAATAGTTTGCAATATCCGGCATCTTCCTCGTCTGGTTCTAGATCGATTCTGCCAGCAGCGATCTGAAAAGCAGCGAGGTGATTTTTAAGATCTCCTTTACCATCATAAGTTGGTAACTTGACCTTTCGAGAATCCTTGATCCGAAGGTTCGAGATTCTCGAGGTGAACGGTGTTCGCCGATGAAACTTCGACTTCATTTCATCAAGCTCTTGACGAACTTTGACGAAATCATCTGAGAAGGTGACATCGGGATTTTCCATAAGGAATCCGTCGTCAATAGCAGGATTTCCCTGATCCTGGGGAATTACATCCCCGGTTGGGTTAGTCCCACCCCCTACGGCTGCCTGATTGCTAGTACTAGTAGGCTGGCCTGCTGGAGGAGTTTGAGTATTCCCGGTCCTGTTTTGTGCGGGAGTTACGAATAGCCTACGCTGACGCGCTGCTACCTGCACTGAAGGCAAAGTATCTAAACGGCTTGAAACAACGTTCTTCGCGTTTGATAAATCTGTCTGGGCGGTTTGAACACTCGTCAAGGTTTGTTCGATTGAGTTCAACCTTTCACTAAAAGTGGTGTTGGCATCAACGAGTGTACCAATCTGAGTAGTCAGACTAGTGGTTGTCTGATTAAGCAAGGTAATTGCATCGCTCAAAGCTTGCTGCTCAGCCATAGTTTCTTGGTTGGGAAAAAAATATTTTGAGATTAAAGAGTTTTGCGGTAACTCCCCACAGGCGGCGCCAAAATGTGGATGTAGGATTCACACTCAATTATCTTTAAGTATTTTAGTAGAGAAAAACTCTTGTAAAATCAGCAAAATGAAAATGAGAATTCGAAAGGGAAGTTTAACCAAGAAAAGAATGAAATAAAGAAATTTGATAAGAACGAAGTACGAATAATCTTGCGAAATTGTAAGAGAAAAAGTATGTTGTATTGCCTGGTAGTAGTCAGTCAAAAAGATCTCTCCCTCAAACACATGCGTTTGAGGTTGTTTTTATACATAAAACGTGATTAATGCGGTCATTCACTGTACATAATTAAATTGATCCGCATTAATCATGTAAGTTACAATTTTGACCGAAACGGCTTGAACTTGAACTGTCTTGGGCTTCACATGAGCTTTCCGAACTCTTTCTTGCTGACTCCAAACTCCCGTGCGTTGATGCTACTGCGAGCCTTGAACAATATTCTCCTCGCTTCGGCCGAACTGTATGTTGAATAAGAGCGAACTCCGTACTGGTAAAGATCGAACTCTTTTAGTGAGCTGAATCGAACTCCCAACTGGTCAAGTTCAATAAAATATCTTGAATTCCGAGAGGATTATTATGTAATAATGACGTGGACAAATCCAAGTGGATCCTACCGAAAATGTGTGGGATCCGACCCCAACAGTTACTACTCTGTTTTCTCATTGAACTATTTCGGTTTGGTTTTTTTTTTAATTATTATTATCTGTTTCGTTTTCAATTTGGAATTTAGACCCCTTAAATTTTATATGGTAATTATTTTATTTCCTTGTTATTTCCCACTCCGATCTTAGACATTTTTTATTCCAAAACAATCATAATTCAATACATTTATGTTTTACCGCGCTAATGTTTTTATTAACATTCAATGACTCTTTTCCCGTTATTTCTGCCTATAAACCCACTTCAGAGTAACTAATTTATTTTGTTCTTATCTGTTTCGTTTTCAATTTGAAATTTAGACCCCTTAAAATTTATATGGTAATTATTTTATTTCCTTGTTAGCTCCCACTCTCAAGTTAGACCCTTTTGTATTCCAAAACAATCATAATTCAATAATTTATGTTTTACCGTGCTAATATTTTTATTAACATTCAATGCCTCTTTCCCCGTGATTTCTGCCTATAAACCCACCTAAGAGTAACAAATTTGTTTACTGTGTACCTTTTTCGTTACAGCCTAATTCATTTGTTATCTCTGTAAGTGAGTTTCTGTAACTGATTATTAACTCTAATCATTTGTTTTGTTACAATGGTAATCATTCTGCCTATAAACCCACTTCAGAGTAACAAATTTATTTTGTTCTTATCTGTTTCGTTTTCAATTTGGAATTTAGACCCTTTAAAATTTATATGGTAATTATTTTATTTCCTTTTTATCTCCCACTCTCAAGTTAGACCCTTTTGTATTCCAAAACAATCATAATTCAATAATTTATGTTTTACCGTGCTAATATTTTTATTAACATTCAATGTCTCTTTTCTTGTGATTTTTGCCTATAAACCCACCTAAAAGTAACAAATTTTTTTACTGTCTACCTTTTTCGTCACAGCCTAATTCATTTGTTATCTCTGTAAGTGAGTTTATGTAATTGATTATTAACTCTAATCATTTGTTTTGTTACAATGGTATTTCTCTAAATTAACTTACTAATATTTTGTTATTATTTTGTTATTGCCTAAGCAACCTCTTAACGCATAAAGTTGTTACCTTTGTAACTTGTTGTTTCACGTTTTCCTATATATATTCTTGTTCAAACCCAATCTGTAACAAATATCTTATCACTCTATAAATGATAACTCCATAACATGCTTCTTATTGATAATCTAAAGCGGTCATTCAAAGCTCGATTTTGTTACCGGATAATTAAATATTAACTGGATTTCATTCTAATAATTAAACATCATTTACATCAGTTAATGGATAGGTATTTCCTTCGATAATTATACATTTTAGGCCACTAGAATCTGCATTCTATACATCAAAATTATTCTACCGGCATCATCATCTTTATTTATAAAACATCTTGTTGAGATTTTTTCTTTGCCCATCGTCTTCCATCCGTTTTCTCCTCCCTCAAAAAACTTGCCTTCCCCATCATTCTACGGCTCATGTGTGTTATTATAATTGCTAACAAGCTTTCTTTATGTTTTTTATGTTTTTAAATAGGGTATATTTTAGAATCGTTACCGTCATTGGTCCCCTGCATGTTGCTCGATTGTGGCCCACTGAACGGCAGCGTGTGCAGCGCTTACCCGACGTCCTCTAAATTATCAAACATTCCATATATGTCAGATATCCCGATAACTTTATTTTTACCATTACATAATTACCATATAACTGTAATATTACCTTGAATTCACCCTGAGAAAATAGCCTTCTTTTTCTTGGCCGCCCTGGTGGCCTTTTAAGATATGGTGGTGCTAGCTTCCCTCCTCCGACATCATTTGGTGATGGGGCTAGTGTAGCCATATCTGGGATGGGCATAATCATTTCTTTGTATGCTAACCGTAGTTGTGGAACTGTGTGCTGTACTCCAACCATGGTGTCAACTCTTATCCCTTCTCTGATTGCGGCAGCTATTGCATGGGAACATGGTATAGTCAGGAGCTGAAACTGTCTGCAGGTGCATGTTCTTTCCCACAGATTTACGGCGTACCCGCAATCCACCATATCTCTCACCTCATATAGCCCATCCCCTATTTTAAACACTCCATAACCTGCCCCTTTTTCAAAGTTCTCTATGACCATTTCATTTACCTTTGGAGGTAATATGTTGTCTTCCATCTGAGCTGCTTCCCGCCGTAGAGCAAACCACGCCACCAAAGTTGTTCTCCAAGATTCGAGGATCGAGATCACTGGATAGTCTCTTGCCATTGTCAACACATTGTTTAAAGATTCTGCGATGTTGCTGGTCATCACGTTATATCTTTTCCCAACAAAATGAGATCGTGTCCAATGCTCAAACCCAATTCCGGTTAGGTAGTCAGCACATGGCCCGTTCATTGCTCGTATCTCCGCAAAGATTTTGTTGAAATCACATAGGCGGTAGGCTCTGGCTGCGCTCGACACTAAACTTCCCAGGGCTTCGTTTTTGAAGATTGCGATAATGTTTCTTTTCAAATGAACCACACAAGCCGCGTGTGACGCCATTGGATACACCTGCATATAATAACCAATAACTGCAACATTAGCCGATTTGAATATTAGCTTGCTAAGTATTTAGTTTTGCATTAATAACAGATGTTTTAGTATGACTTTGATGTTTACTTTATACCTAAGTTGTTACCACCTTTTTTTTAAATAATAATGATATTATCAGAAGATAACACATATCTATTTATATACCCTTTTAAAACATTTGTTTCAATATTTCATATTTACCATTATTCATTAGCTATAAACTAAAAGTATTATGCGTTAAGGAGACTGTTATAGCGATAATATTATTGTTATATACTAGTGTGTACCTTCCTAATACTCGCATAGATGGAAGCATGCCGGTCTGAGATGAACACTAGGTCTGGTTCGTCCGGAACAACTTCAGTTAGCTTGTTCATGAACCAGGTCCACGCCTCGTCGTTTTCACTATTAACAATTCCAAATGCGAGTGGAAAAACTTGGAAATTCGCATCTTGGGCGCTTGCAGCTACAAGACATCCTCCATACCTGCCTCTCAAGTGAGTTTCATCGATGACAATAACTTGTCTCATGTAAACATACCCCTTGATCGATGCGTGTAATGCAAATAATAGATACTTAAACCTGATAACTCCCAAGTTATCTGTTTCGGTTTCTAGCGCAGTAATAGAGTTTGGATTTGTTGCCATCAGAAGTTTGAAGTATGGTTGGATTAATGCAAAACTCCCCATAGCTGACCCCATAGCATTGTCCATTGCAATCTCTCTTGCTCTCCATGCTTTCTAGTACGAAACATTGAGACTGAATTCTTGCCTTAGCATTCTCTGCAACTCATTAGGCCTAGGTCCTTTTCCAACGCCAACATACCGTGTCCTCATCAGCTTCCCTATAACTACTTTTGATGCTTGCTTGTGGAAATCGCCTCTGGCGTCCACGCTGCAGGTGTGCTGCAGTGTTGCCGTCCTCACTTCAAACCGCTCACTATCTTCTAATTTTGTTGTATAAACCCGCCACGGGCTTGTGGTCCCGACGCAAACCGCTATCACCATGGTTGGACACGATTTTGCATGTATGAAATGAAACTTTCGTCGTATAGCATGAATTGCTAGTTTTGTGCAGCAGTCATCTTTGTTTTTGAACAACCTTCCCACGAAAATGTCATCCCCTTCGTAATCAGCATCTTTAAGTGATCGTTGGAGATAATCTGTCAATGTTAACAACATAACACCATTAACGCGATATAACGACACTTATCATGATTGTTGAATGTTAGCACAATAATAATATTATTACTTGTTTCTTACCTTCTTCACCCGGGTCATCGAAATATGGAGGTGCATCCCGATCATACAACACTGTTGGGAATGGCGTCTCCCTTACCACCATTTGTCTGTCTCCCTCTGGAACCTCCTTCCCTTGAGATGAACCAGATCCCTTTTCCATTACCGGCGTACCTAGTATTTTCCCCACTTCTAAGGGAACTCTTGGAGTCAAACACAATGGTCCATCCGCGTCTGTGTAATAGTCCTCCATTGTGTTTGGACCTGGCAAAATATAGAATATAATCACCATCTCTTCACTTGAATCTTATCCAAATACAGTACTAGTTGTCGGATAACTCACCTATTACTCCGGTAGGCGATGTGTTTTTAATCTCTCCATCCATTAGCTCCTCGGTTGAGAATGAAATACTGGTTGACTGTGTCGTTGGTGTGCCGAATGAAGAGTTTGATGACGACAAAGTTAAGATTGTTTGTTGGGATGTTGCCATGGATGCACCAGAAAGTGTCAGTCGTAGGCTTTCGTCTTCAACAGGAGATTGTTATGACATTGTTAGTTTGAAATTCAATTCTCTCGCCGTCTTTGTTCCCTCGTTTGCCAGAATAATCCCACCTTGCTATCCTCCTAGAGTCATCTCTGTAGCACACACATCCCGCCACATTTCCGCGACATAGTTTCTTCTGAAAGCCTCAAATTCCGCTTCTCTAGAGGCTTGTGTTGCTTCAAACATTTTGTAACCTGATAATCCATTAGCGTGAGCATTTTGAAACACTGTTGCCTCGGTAACATGTCCTTTGCCTTTCTCACTGGCTGTTGCCTTTCGTTTCTCTGTGTTATAGGACTGCCTGGGTACCGATCCTCTAAGAGGTGTTGTGTTTAACTGCTCTTGTATCCTTACCCCTGCATTTAGGTTTACTCATCTCGGTCCTTTAATCGCTTCGGTTCCTCGTGGCTGGAGTTCGCTTGCACTATTCTTATCCACGCCTGCATTTTGCGTTAACAACCGGGTTAATGCACTATCCCAAACTGACCTAGTTTCCGCGTACTTATCCGATATCTGCTCTGATGTCAGTCCTCCCAAATCTAAATGGCTCTTGTATGAATTAACATTCTTCTCCAGCCCTCCCCTTATCACCTTAACTCGCAGATGCACCTCTTCAAGATCAGCTCTTATCACCATGACCAGGGTCATATCTTCATCATCTAGGATGTGGATGGGGTTTGCTCTTTTCCAGTCAGGGCCCATCATCCACTGAGGCCACTGATAACTTAGCTCGATATCGTCAGTCTCGCGTAGCGCCAATCTTTCCTTTACCGCGTTAACAACCTTATTGTATCCATCTGTCTCCCTCAGCCATACTGCCATCGTAAATCCCTCCAAAGCCGAGACATGTTCGTAACAGCCTTCATCGTCTTTTCTCCACTCTCCTCTAACCAAACGCACTACCATAGACATACTGTACCTGTGAAAAACACAGTTATAACTTCATTAGTACCGATTATCATTGTTTTTATCACACTAACATTAACTAAGAAGAAGGAGATTTGTGGGAGACGACATATATATACCTTCTTGTATTAAATGATGCTCTTAAATGCACCCTAGAATCTATGAATATCTCCTCTGTTCTTCGTCACATTAACTAGTTCTCAGATCTTTTATGGTTGCTTTGTTTTTTGGTCTAGGAAACGGCTCTACTGCGCTAATAAATATATGAACCCATACGACTGCTACTTCCACAAACCGAGAAATATCTCGTTAATCATTTTCTTTTGGTAAAATCTTTCTCTTCCCCATAACGCCGGCGCAATCTTTTGTTATCTTTGTCACAGAGATTTCGCGAGCATTTAATGCTCAGATTTGTTGTCGCTAAACACGTTATCTTTGCCACAGAGATTTTGTGACAGCCGTAGGGGTGTTTCGGTCATATTTCCGAACTGCAGAAGAGAGAGAACCAATTTCGTTATTACGGTTCCCAGATCTTCTAATATCTTTTCTTCTATGGATTAATATTTAGTTCACCCATTTTTTCAAATATAGATATATACATAACTAATATATTGTAAATATGCTTTTTTTTCTTTAGTTAGTTTTCTTATTTCAAACTTTATATAATAAGATTTTCATTTTGTTGTTTTCTAAAAAATTCGAGTTGTTTGAGGCCCGGATCAATAAGCTTAATTTATGTGGGACACAATATTTATATATCTATATAATTTATTTAGAATATTTAATATTTTTATACATTATTTGAATAATCTATATGCATATAATTTTTTCTGATCAATTAAAGATAAAATAACGGAAAAACTGTTAAATAGACATTTAGATGAAAAAAATATCAGCATAATAAAAATATTTGAGAATTTTATTTAGAAAACTAATAGAAAAGAAAAAGGAAAAATAAAACATCTAAGAGGAATCGAACTTGAGAGTGGGAAGATGACTTGGGTGGAATATACAAAATATGCTAAGTCAGATTTATTAGTTTCTAATACATACAAAAATATATGAAACTAGGGATTGACCCGCGGTACACCGCGGGACGATATTTTCGGTTAAAGAATAATTATTTTTGTTTAGATTTTTTTAAAATTTTTGTTACATATAACAAATATATGTATATAACCTATTTACATGTGTAATTAGAATGTATATATAGAATTTTATACAATGTTCATTGTATGATAAGTATGTTGTATGTTTGACTAATTCTAATTATACAGAAAAATGAGATGACAATTAAGTAAGCAACAATGTCCCGCGCCTGTAAATTACGTATTCTCTTATGGTGTTTGTTATATATTTAAATAGTTTTAAAAGTGTGTAAGTACTTTATATATGTGCAAATACTTGTGTTGGTTTGTAAATTTTGTTTATTGTAATAAATATTGAAATATGATATCTTATATTATTTTGTGTGTAAAGAATTTAAAAGTTGTGGAAGTGAAAAATTCTGTTTGAATTTTATCTTTTAAGATTTATTGTAATTATTTGTTGTTTCATATTTCATACAAATAAGTGTATTTATATTGCTTATGAAAAGAACAGTTTTATAATATGAGAATATCTCATTTGCTCATCATAACAATATTAAAATTACTACTTGAAAATATCTCACATAATAGCAATGTAAATACGACAAACAATAATATATCTATAACACATAAAACAAACAAAAATATTATGAGCTAAATTTCATATAATAACGTCTACGTGATCAAATTCCAAACAAAAAAAATTAATTTGTATTTGCATCAAAAAAATAAAAATACACAAACCTTCTAAATATCCTATATTATTCTACAAAACGAAACAAATTTAAAAATTTACATACTATGCAAAATACAAATTTAGTAAATAATACAATTTTTAAGTATAAAATTATTTTTTTTATTAAAAAAAACATGAACCCTTTCCTTATAAAAACATAATCAAATACGTATCAAATTAATTAATGGCATCGGTTTTTACATAGATATTACATATCTCTCTAGAAGAAATCAAATAAAAGAGAAAACAAAAACCAAACCCACGCTTAATGTTGATTTCACCTTCCACTCCAACAAATCAGCGACTCTCCAAATAGTTTTGACTTTTGAAATATCATAAATACAAACAAATCTCCCTCTCTCGGCAAATGAAACGTGTGTGAACAATCCACGGTGGTTACTTCTCAGATTAGGGTTACGATCACTTACTCCGCCGTCATGTACGTCATGTACGTCGCCGCCATCATGTACGCCGCCGCCGTCATGTACGATCACTTACGCTGCCGCCATCATGTACGTCATGTAAGTTTTGTGGTTACCGAAAATCCAAACGCACACCTCATGTTTGTGAAAATCCGATTCAATCATACAACCTGACACAAACAGACAGGGCCGGCCCAACATGAAATGATGCCTAAAGCAAAAATAAATTTTTGGCCCATTAAAAAAAACTTGAAAAAAGGGTGAATTAGCTGTATAACCAAAATCCAATGTTTAATTAAGAATATAGCATCATGTTTGAAAAAATTAAGAAAGTAACATAAAGAAGGAAGGAAAAGACTAAACTAGTTTTGCCGAAGAAGGAAGAAATTCAGCTGAGGTGGAAGGAAGAGCTCCATCATTGGTGGTTGAAGGCTGAGGTTGCAGGAGAGAAGGTCTCCTTTTTTTTTTTACCCTTTTTCAATTTTCACTCAAATTTTTTGTTTAAAAATATTTATTCAAGTTTATGATTCTTCTATTAAAAAAATCTAGAAATTTTTTTACATGTACTATGATTAAAATTTTTCAAAACAGACATAAACATAGAAAAAAATAAAAAAAAATTGGTTAAAAATATAATTTTTTTCTGTATAAATAGAACACATATGAAATAGTATTAGTAAAATGAAATGGTATAGAACAAAACATTTTTACTATGAAAAACTTATCAATGATATAAAATAAAATACAAAATCTAAATTGTCAAGTTAAACCCACGTCGAAAAATGAATGATGTCTTTAGAAATACAAAATAGAAAATCTAAATTGCCAAGTTAAATGCACGACGAAAACAAAATGTTATACCCTAAAGACTACTACATAGAATCCAATAGACCAAGTTAAAGTTTAAATCGATTATGAACACAAATCAGAGTTCAAAACAAAAAGTACATACCAAACTCATAGAAAGTAGTACATTCAACCTTAGTAATTACCAATAATTACCAATAGTACATACCAAACAAATAGTTAAAGACATATCGTATCTTCTCTTATACCCTTCTCTTCTATGTTTACTGTTGGGGTCGGATTTCATCCATCTTCAGAGACCGAGCCAAACTTCAACATCCCGAATTAACCTGCTCGGGGTACCCTTTCAGACAGCTCGGGTACCCTGTCAGACAGCTCGGGGTACCCTGTCAGACAGCTCGGGGTACCATGCCAAACAGCTCGGGTACCCTGTCAGACAGCTCGGGTACCCTGTCAGACAGCTCGGGGTACCATGCGAAACAGCTCGAGTACCCTGCCAGACAGCTCGGGTACCCTGCCAGACAGCTCGGGGTATCCGAGCCCATTCTTCTCCGGATACCCGAGCCCGCTTTTCCGGGTACCCGAGCACGTCCTCTGCGGGTACCCGAGCACGTCCTCTGCGGGTACCCGAGCACGTCCTCTACGGATACCCGAGCCTGTCCTCGCAAGGCAGCCTCCAAACTACCCGAGGCAAAGTCATTAGTCATCCGAGGCAAAGACTTAGAAAATATTCACCTTCAAAGCATCATTTCCGGAAAAGAAGTATCATTTCCGAAATACTCGGAAATGATAAAGGAGAATCTCGAAGGATCGACTCAAATCAGGAAAACTTCCAAAAAGCTCCGAAGAATAAGGAAAGTATCCTAATCCGCGATATTCTTAGCCAACTTCAAGATAAATGGAAATCTTCCGAGAATATCGCTGGAGAGGCGGTTTACCACTCTTATATAAAGCAACTCAAGGCTCTCGCAATAGGGCAAGCAATATCGCTCTAGATTTTAGACTACACAAAGCTCTGAAGCATAAACACTTTTCCTTTTTACGATCAAACTCTTGTACGATCAAAATCATCTTTTTCTTAATAATATCAAGAACACCATCTTTGGTATCGATTGATTCTGTTGTTCTTTGAGAATTCTCGCGAATCGTATCCCTAAAATAAAACCCTAGACAAATCTCGATTGTGTTAGTTTCGACTTCAACAGTTTGGCGCCGTCTGTGGGGATACTTTAGAATTCTCTTACCCTAAGAACACTGAACTCAATTACCGAAGAAGACGATGAACGAAGAGAATCGTCAGATACAACCAGCCGGAGGAGGGAACCCTAACCCTCCGAACCCTCAGAATCCTCAGGCCGATCCGGCAATCTCAGCGACCCTAGCCGAACTGAAGGATATGATGGTTAAATTCCAGAAGAAAGCTGACGATCAAGAGAAAGCTAGCAAGACCTTGGCGCAGCAAATCGACGAAATCGCATCCCGTGGGCAACACAAAACCACGCGTTTCCAGACTCGGCCACTACGAGCCCGGAGAGACTTGCCTGGCATCAACCCAACAAGGCTCACGTTCGCGACGCCAACCGATAACGCTAGAGTCACAACCCGAGCCGACCCTGCCCGACGTGAGAATCAGGATGATCCCGCCGAGCTAAACGCAGTGGACCTGACGAACGAGCCGGATGATCCGTAAGAAGAGCGAACCCGAACCGGAGTTAATTCTGCCGAGCGAACTGATCTCACAGATGATGAGGAAACCGAGGAAAACATAAGGTGGGCCGAAGATTTTTGGGCACCATACCTCCCGTTGTCGAAGCCTCGGAGCGAAGTTAGCAACCAAGTTCCTAGCCGGAGAGCTCGGAACGAACGTCACGCTCAAGGATTTGGAGCCAGAGCCAGAACAGGCCAACGCTGTCGGGGACCCCGAGCCAAGGAACGCGGAAGTTCCGAAGAGAACCCGAGAAAATCCGGATGAGGACCGAGACGGCACGCGACAAAAAGTCCTCACCATAATGGGTGGTTCACCGTACTGCCCCG